CCCCACCCCCTCCGCCCCGGAGCTCCTGGGTGCCCCCAAGCCAGTGTGCACACCCAGAGGGTGGCCTGAGGCCTCCTGTGTAGCAAAAGGGGGGACTGGGGCAAGAGCCCAGGCACCATCTGAGGTGTTAGGGCACCGTGTTTGCACACAGGGTTCAGGTGGGTGGTTCTGCAAACCCTGCAATAACGGGTATTCGATTGTTCAAACAAGAGGCTGTAGATCAGATGTGCTCGTGAAGCTGCGCTTAAAGCGTCTGTCATCACTTAAACTTTCTGAAAGGTTCCTGCTTTCCTTCTTGTTCTGTGTTGAGAGGCTTTATTTGGCCAACAAGTTGGCTATGCACGTGGAATTTGCTGATTAACATAGTCTTATTGAAATACTCGGGTGGAATAAAAGAGCATGAGCCTTAGCTGGTTTTCAAGTACATTTAAAAGGCCTTGCCTTTGTTTCTAGGTTTGTTTGGAAGATATTGCCAGGGCTGAAAGTCACGGCTATCCAGACAAGCTGCTGCCCAAGGTCTTGCTGCGGAAAGCTGAATGTCTGCTGTGTTTGGGGAGGTTACAGGATGCAGCAGCTGCCCTCAGTGTCGTGGAGAACAAAATTGCTGTGGATGGGATCACAACTAGTCCTGCACTCCACACACTGCTGAAAAGGTTAAGTCAGCTGAAGATTAAAATACGTGAGAAACAGAGCTGTCCAGAGCCTGCAGGAGAAGCACGTGGTGATGCTCAAAGCAAGTCAGAGGTCTGGGAAGAGAATGACAGTATTTCAGGTGCATCTTCATCTTTGAGCTTGAATTTTGATATGGAGAGAGGACGTCACTTGGTGGCCTCCCAGGACATCCTGCCAGGACAGAGCCTGTTGAAAGAGGAGGCATTTGTAAGTGTGCTCTGCCCAGGGGAGAGCCTTCTGCTGCAGGACAGCAGCGAAACAGCGTGGGATACTCGAGTCACTAATGCAGACCTTTATTGCCACCGTTGTCTGAGGCAGCTCTTGGCCTCGGTGCCTTGCCGTGGGTGCAGTTACGCCAAGTACTGCAGCCAGAACTGTGCAGACGTGGCCTGGGAGCAGTACCACAGGGCTGAGTGCTCCTTGGGAGCACTGCTGCTCACATTAGGCGTTTTCTGCCATGTTGCTTTGAGGACTGTTCTGCTGGCGGGATTTGCAGAGGTTAGCAGGCTGGTGGAACGGTCCCACAATGGTGACGAGGACCTTCATAACCCTGAGGCAAGATGCAAGCATCTCAGTGGGGCACCAGGTACAAGAGCTGGTACCAGAGGTATCCCTGGCTGTAACGACGATGGTCGGTACCAGAGCTCTTACCAAGCTGTGTTCAACCTTTTGCCACACGCTGAGAAGCATAGCCCTGAACACAAATTCCTTTGCATGCTGAGTGTAGTAGCTATATGCAAACAGCTGCAAGAAGCTGGCCTAGAGGCCGCTGTTTTGAATCGGGAACCATCTGAGAAGTGGTCTGAACCAAAGACATGTGAAAAAACATCGGGTGAATTGTCTCCAGAGCTGAAGACGATGGCAGAAGCGATGCTGAGGCATGTGTTGCAGCTGCAATGTAATGCACAAGCGATCACTGTAATGCAGGAGTCGGGTAAGACAGAAAGTTTTAAGCCCTGCTCTGTTGTCCTTGCTCATCCAGATTGTGTGAAGAGATTGAACTGTCAGTTATAAAAAGCTCCCGTTGCAGATGGGAATGACTTGCTTAAAATTTAATGACCTGTCCCATGGTTCTTTGGTGCACACGTAGAGGGTATGTAGCTATTATTTATTGCAGCAATATACCAGAAACCTTTGTACTGCTGTCTGCAGCTGGTCACAGCGTTCGTTGCATAAGTTGCGTGGGCTACTGAGCCTTCGTTCTCAACTGACTTGTTTTTCCCCTGTCTTTAGAGTCCGGAGGTGGTGCTGTTGTAAATAAGAAGCCTGTGCGCCTGGCGACAGCCTTCTTTCCTGTCCTCAGCCTTCTGAACCAT